AAAGGTCTTTTGTGTGAAATGTCCTGTATTCCTTTTAAAGATTGTACCAAGGGAAATATATCACTAGCTTGGTTTTGATTAATAGATATTCATTTACAAATTTAATTTTTTGCCATTATTTTTTGTTTTAATGGTTTTAATGCTGAAGCTAGTTAGTTTTATTATTAATTAATTCACCTTTATGGACAGCTTGTATTTTTGCTTTGACAGTTTCATACCAAAGACATGGAATCATATTCAATAGGAGAACTGAGAAAAGAGATCAAAATACGTGATGGAAGAAATATTTTACATCTGTCGGGTCACAGTTTGCGTGAATTGCCTGTAGCTGTGATGGAATTAACTGAGTTGGAGGAACTTTACCTGACTGAAAATAAACTTCAAACAATTCCTGAAAATATTAGAAAACTGATTAATCTTACCAGACTTGATTTATATGGAAACCAGCTTTCCATATTCCCTGCAAGTCTGACTCATTTGAAGAAACTAAAATGGCTGGACATCTCATATAATGAATGGCTAACAACTGATGCTATTGGTGAGATGGGGGAGCTGGAGATACTGTATCTGAAGGAAAACCAGTTGACTGTGTTGAGTCCAGCTATAACACAGCTGAAGAAACTCAAAAAGCTATACATGACAGGTAACAAACTAACCACCATCCCTGATGCTATCGGTGAGATGGTGGGACTGGAGGTACTGGAACTGAATTACAACAAGTTGACTGAGTTGAGTCCAGCTATAAAACAGCTGAAGAAACTCAAAGAGCTCTCCATCACACAGAACCAACTTACCACCATCCCTGATACTATTGGTGAGATGGTGGATCTAGAGAAACTGGATCTGAGTCACAACCAGTTGACTGTGTTGAGTTCAAACATAAAACAGCTGAGGAAACTAAAAGTGCTTGAAATCTCAGACAACAAACTAACCACCATTCCCAGTGCTATTGGTGAGATGGAAAATCTAAAGACATTGGATCTGAGTGACAACAAGTTGTCTGTGTTGAGTCCAGCTTTAAAACAGCTGAAGAAACTCAAATATTTGTATGTGGATAAGAATCCTTTTTACAGTTGAAGGAGTGAGAAGTGTTATGGAGCTAGAGGATAAGATTGGCAGAGTATCTTCAGCTATCCCAGGTGAGTAAAGGAAATAACCCTTCACATTAGTGTTGTGACCTGTGCATTTACTTATTAGTTCTAATGGCTGACTTACAAGTGGTTATGCTGTTTGTTACTGATAATTACTGGCAGCTGACAACAGTTTCATAGGAAAGGCTAAGAAGAATATTAAGTAAAATTTATACTGTGATAGTCACAGTTATTGCACAAAGTTGGCATCACTTAGAAATACATGACATTTGTATTGGAAGGTTTATTTATATTTTCAAAAGCTTATCTTAAACAATTTGGCTGACATTAAAATTTAAGTTCAACAACAGTGCACTATACTCTGATAGGGAATTAAGGAAAGATAATGCGTATTACAAAATATTTTAGTTAGGAATTATAGTTGTCATTTTCACTCTATCTGATTGGAAGTAATTAAAAACTACAGCAAGCTTATCATACAGAATATGATATGATTTTAAAGCAAGACTTTCAGTAAGATAGGAAGAAAATTAATCTTTTGTCTTAGCTGGTCAGGAATAATATTGGTAATTAGTACACCATAATTGACACTGGCCTAGTAATCTTTTAGAAACTTGAAGTTGTTACCTTTTGAAAAATAATATGTCACTTGTCTTTTCATTTGATTGCAGCCAAGCAGGTGATAAGTTATTGACTGCCAGAGAATTAATATCAGTTGTTGCTTTTTTTTAGTTTTTTCACTGACCATTAATTTTATTCAAATTCTTAATGTTTCGTTTAATTGAGTCACTCTATTATAGTCATGGTGCATGTGTTTATCAAACTCACCAATGCATTTAACATCAGGAAAATGTTGTGTCTTACTGCAGAAAAGTGAAACCAATCCTTGGTTAAAACGGCCGACCGAACTTTAATAATCATTACCTAAACTACAGTTACACAATATATCACAACCTCAATATGCATGAAACTTAGCTATAATGTTTACTCTCTGGGACCTCTCATGTCATGTATCTTACACCTAGTGATGGTTCCTATTATTTAAACCCTAATTCATTAACACTATAACATTAATTAAACCCTAGTTCATTAACACTATAACAGAAAAGACTTTGAGTGTATGACATTTATTGCTGGCGAGTTTTAGGCAAGGTGGCACACTATTCTATACAACAGCTGGAAAGAACCAAAATTTGTTAGGATTTAAGAATTAAAGAATGGGCAGTCGATTTGGGTTTTTCAATATTGTCCAGGGTATCCACATAATCCAGGTTCTAGATTCCTGTGCGATGCACAATGACAACTCAAGTAGAATTTAGCAGATTTGAGAATTGAGGCGCAAACAAATCAATCAAGACCTATTTCATGGAGATAGTTTTTTCCCTCCGTGCTATCCGCAGGAGCAAACTGCCAACTATAGCTTGCTGGTCTCAGGTGAAATCAGAGGAAGGTGTTAAGCGAGGCAGCTTTGTTTCCAAAGGTACTTTTGTGCTACTGACAACACCCTTTGCTTATTGAGGTGTTAAATTTGATGGTTAAGTGAAAATCTCTGCTAGTTGTGGTAAATGATTCTGCCATCAAGTTGCATTTGTCCTTTGAGGTGAGAGAAAAGCTTGCATCCATAGATTCTATTTGGCAGGAACAAACTGCCAACAATAGCTTGCTGGTCTCGGGTGAAAAGAGAGGAAGGTGTGAGGCAGAGCAGCTTTGTGTCTGAGTAAATCTGGTCAATCTGCTATAATGTGTCATGGTCAATTTCCAAAAAAAAAAAAAACACCCTACATATTGTGCATGACAGACATTTCAAGGATGGGTTAAGGGAGGAGCTGCTTGAGTTCATGACGTCAGGACTGAGCACAGCAAGGTCCATGTGCCATGACCAAGAGCCAAATGTTTTCCTGTCTGGTTCAATCAACCTCAGTCAATAAGCATTTTATTGTATGACCACTAACTACAATAAAAAATGTTTCCATTTAAATTAGTTTTTCATGTTTGAAATATAAAAACAAACAGTTTTTGCAACAAAGTTGCCTGAATGCAGGGCTGTACAGCTTTTTCCAACCTAGCTTATATCAATCCCTCCAGCTCTACTTGGCTTTCACTCTGGTTTGCTGTGGGATAGTTGCGTACTCGTGGTCTTCTGAGTTATGTGGTAAATTGATTTATCAACTTCTAGGCTTGTTTCAGATGTTGTTGAAACTTAGTAATTAAAAACAGAAATTGCTTTTTCCTTTGGGTTAATTATTATAATAACTTTCTCTGCCTAGACCATGTGGAAAGACAGAGAGCAGAAGGACGTAAAGCAGATTTGGCTTTTGAATGGGCCTTGAAAGATGGATATGTAAGAGTTAACCGTGGTCGAATCATGCTCATTGGCCAGGATCGTGCAGGTAAAACCAGTTTGATGAAGAATCTCTTAGGCCTTCCATTTGACCCTAATGAACAGAGTACTGAGGGGATTGAAGTAAATCCATCAAAGTGTGAAATTGATGTTGAACGAGTTAGAAATTGGCAACCTACAGATGAGAACAAACCAGGACTGGAGGAATACGCTAAAGAAGTAGCAAAGATTATTGCAGAGAAATTGGTAAGGAGGCATGGAAAAGATTCAGAAGACAATGCAGGAGAAGATTCAGAAGATAGTCCACTAGAAGACTCCTTTGATGATGAAGTAAGTTCAGAAGATGTTTTTGAGGAAGAATCAGTAAAAATTTATCCACCCTCTTTAAAAAGGGATTTTTGCAAGGTTAGACCTACAACAGAGAAAAAGTAATTGTGGGAATTTAAAACATCACTTAGTAAAATACATAGTTAATCATGAATTGAGGATAAAAAGGGTTGTAAGCAATCTTTTTTTTTTTTGTGCAAGATGGATTTAAAGATTTTGGCAACTCAAATTTCAAATTACAAACTGAGTGAAGGCATAATTAGCAAAAGCTACGGGTACAAATTAAAGCTGTCTTGTGGAAGAAACCTCTTTTATTTCCCTTACTTGATCAAAAATTGTCAGTATGTTAATGGTTCAGAGAATTATTATGAATGTATTTTTCGAGAGCCTCTTTTTCACAAAGTATCTTACTATAGACTGATGTGTGTTAATTATGCAGAATGATACAGTGTCTGTGTTAATTTATTTAAATATTCCTATTTTCATTTTGGATTTGATTAACTTTATTTCGGGTAATTCAGAGAAAGACAAAAGTAGTGAACATTTCCTGGATTTAGAAGATGAAAACTTACCAATTAAATGAATCAGAGGTACAGATTGATTCTTCTTCAGCTCCAGACGACATCATGAAACATCATCAGTGGCTAGATTATGTCAAATGTAGAGGTGACATCAACACAGAAGTTGTGCAAAGTTTAGACATGTGGGATTTTGCAGGCCAGGGTAGCATTTGTACTCTGCCAGCCACCCATATCTTTCTATTTTCATTTTGTTTTCATTTCTGATTTGATTGACTTTATTTAGGCAGAGGCAGAGGAGAACAAAGGCAGTAAATTTTCCCAGTATTCAAAAGAAGAAAACTTACCAAATGAACCAGAGGCACAGATCAATGCTTCTTCACCTCCAGATGACATCAGAAGACATCTTCATCTGTGGCTAGAGTATGTCAAATGTAAAGGTGATATCAGCAGAGAGGTTGTCCAAAGTTTAGACATTTGGGATTTTGCAGGGCAGCATTTGTACTATGCCAGTTACCCTATCTTTCTATCGCCACGAGCATTGTACATACTGGTACACAATCTCAGTAAGCCATTAGATGCACTAGCTGAGCCTTGCGTCAGACAAGGAATGATTGATGTTGAATTGAAAAACCCCAACAATGAAACAAATGTAGAGAATCTGTTGTCATGGCTGGCTACAGTTCACAGTCTTGCCCAAGTACCAATAAATGAGGAAAAACATGATGATTCGCCACACAAGCTGCCCTACCTCCGCCCCCCAGTATTGATTGTTGGCACACATGCTGACAAACCAGTTGATGGCATTGCACTGATGAAAAAACACATTGAGGAGAGAATTTTCCACAAGGAATATGACAAGCATGTGATACGGCCTCTTTTCTGTATCGATAACACAAGATCATCGTCAAAACAACTAGGTACACAAAGAATTTTAATTCTGGATGTGGTAATAGAGATTATTGTATGAATTTTGGTCTAGAGCCAAATGAATTCAGCATCGTGTTATGTGGGTTTTGTACAATCTGCCAGTGACTGTTTTTTACTTACTTTATGAGGAGGGATAAATATTACTTTTGACTGAAGTTTGAATTGTAATAGACTGTGCAGAGTCTGAAATACATTTAAAAGAGTGTGTTTATATCCCAGCTCAAGAGAACAAAAGAATAACATGTGTCATAGAGTAATGTGTTAATTAAGTTAAGCAACCAATGAATGAATCATTCCATATATCGCTAGCAAGGATTTAGTTGTTTATCCCACAGTTATACAAAGTTTCTTAGTGAGAAGGTTACTCAAAATATGTATTGCTGCTAACTAGGATAATGTTAAATTGATATTAAGTATTTAAATAACAGGTGTGCAGTGTTATCCAGGAGAAGTGGTGAAGGCAAAACAATAAAAGATCTATATCTCCTGGCTTACCTGTTTTTGATGAAAGATGCCTGTTTACCATTTATTTTTAAGCTAATGAGAGCAATGGGGATAACAGCTGTGGAGATGCAATCGATTCTCTTCAAAACAGAATCATTGAAGTGTTGAATAAGGAACCCTACATGGAAGAGAAAATCCCAGTCAGGTAATGTAATATAACTATAAATATAATAACTTGCAAACGTTTATGATTTAGATGTTAATCTTGGTTTCCTTTGGTACCAAATGCACAAGCAGCAAAAGTTATTCAAAATCCACCTTTTCCCTCTCCTGAGGGGGAATTAATATCTGCTGATAAACTTTGAACTTCAAAGCAGGTTAAATTTAACTAGATCCACCATCTTGGTGAGCGTGCAGTGGAGATTTTCATGATCATGATACAATCATACAAAGTGAAGGATGTAGTTAATGCGTTTGTACCTGTGTTGTTATTCAATTATTTACAAATAACAGTTAATAAATAATCAAAGTCTTACTTTGCCTGATTTCATTGTTCTTCAGGTGGTTTTTGTTTGAGAAGGTGATTGAAGCTTTGGTTGATAAACAGATTTATCACAGCAGTTTGCGACAACTTCAAGACTATGCAGAGAAATGGTGTTTCGTGGAAGATTCAAATGAGTTTAACTCCATGATCAGTTTCTACCATGACCTGGGGTTGATAATCAAGCACCGCAGTACAGTTGTATTGAAGGCTCAGTGGTTGATTGATCTATTCAAGCAACTGATAATCATTCCACGTTATAATGATATGGTGAGGGAATCCCCAGAAGATAAATGGAGCTGATGCTTTTGTAACGTGGCAATCAGTAATTATGTAGAGGAGTGCCCCTATTCATATAGTTCCTCTAAAAAATCAGGCATGGGATCACTTTTGTTCAGGGTTTACCTCTGGACATTTGATAATTCACTTTAGAGTCTATTCCTAGAGTTTTTCCTAATCCATTTTCACTGCATTACCGCAGTAGGGTAGGACTACAACGGAACATATACGATCCATGCGAGTAGTCCTTCCATTAAATCCCATCCATCCCACCCCAGAGGAGGACATCCATCACACAGTAATCTCGTGCGTGGGAAATTAACGTCTCCTACCCCTAACCCTACAGGAGACGGGATCTCCATTTATTCGTCCCTATCCGAAAAGACTGGAATATCTAACCATTTCTTGATGTTACAGAAAGGTAGTGTATTCTTCTCAATTATTTTAAGGCCCTGAGTGTTAGTCCGGCCGGGGCTCGAACCCTCGACCTCCCGCACAACAGTCCAGCGCTCTATCCATTGAGCTAACCGGGAGGCGGTTGGCTATGTCTACTCATTAAAAGGAAAGTACGGTCTAGAAAAAGTTTATCTCAATTAGTAGACTTTTTCCTCAGGAGTTTGAAAATAACTGCCAGTTTGTCCTGTTTGCTTTGCATTAGCGACAGTAGCGCTTCGAAGTTGCCCATCTTTACAACTTTCGTGGTTAGACATTACGTTCTTGTGACGTAGCAATAGTGAAACTTTGTTCGGTACATTGTCCTTGTTGACCTGTTTGACCTTTGGTGAAAACAATTTCTAATGCTCCTAATGGATAAAATGAGGCGAAAAAAAAACTAAATGAAATTTAATACACTGTTGGCAACTAATCAAGACAGACACGTTTGCGAAAAATACAAATTATCCTTCGTCACGCAGGCGCCCATATTTCGCTATGACATATCGATTGGATACGATAAAAATAATAAGAAAATATTTATGTCTTCCAACCAACTACTCGACGTTATTATGCAGTGCTTATACTTTCAATAGAAATCGAAAGTTTTATTGTAGCTTCAGGTATATTGAGGTAATTTCTAATGTAAACACCGTATGACTTTCCGGCACGCGTCGAAAATAACAAAGCTCTACTTCTCTCAATTCGAGATATTTCAAACATTTTAGAATAAAAAATACTGCTTGAAGCTAATTCTAAGCAGAAAAGATAAAAAACATCATTGCAAATTAAGGTAAATGCTGAAACAATATTTAATTCGTAACAATTAACTTATGTCTTTTGTCTGCGTTAATTTTGGCAACTAAGTGTTTCTAAACAATTTTGTCAGTGTTTACGCATACGAAGAATGAACTTCAAGTCTATCATTTCTAACTTGTTGCATGCCAACTAGGGCTGTTCTTAGTTCCAAATGGCTCTTATTCCGCTATATCTAGACCGAAGCTGGGTTCCTGTAACAGAAAAAATAGTTCGTCTCATTCCAAGGTAGCAATGTGAAATGAATTCGTAGCAGGCACTGCGGTCTTCTTTAGCAAAATAACTATTACTCCACAGCTTGGATTGTTTGGGGGAAAAAACCTTGCCTTTCCAATTGAGTTGGTGTCCTAGTACATTTAATTCTTAGGAGGATACATTCTCGTTTTCCGTAAGTTTCTCTTGACAGTTGCCGCAAGAAAACCACTCGCGATTTCCAAGACGTAAGCGAATAAGCGGATCGACGGTTCTTCTTGAAATTCATTTTCCTGACTTTCTATCTCTTTCTCCCCAACAGAGGTATCTGACCTTTCCCTGAACTGACGACAAACAAAGTTTCGTTTGAAACAAATGGATCTACTACATCCTCTCGGTTAGATTAAAATCCAAGTCGAGAATTTACATGATAAGTGGCACCCCTGCCCACCTGCCACTGTTTTCCTTGTTTACATCCGCTTCAGCAGGGATATAACTTAGCATGTTTGACTATTGCTACGTCATATAACAAAGATGGCGGATTTCAATTTGAGAATGCCGAGTTTTGGAACGTATTTGTTCGCAACTGAAACCCTTTTAGCTCAAATGAACAGCCAGTTAGGACATTGCAAGCAAGGAACGTTTAATAAAAGTAAACTTTTTCTAGACCGTACTTTCCCTTTAAGAGTGTGCATTAAGAGAAAACAAGATTCTGACACTCAGTGCTATTGGAAGATATATTTGCACTGGCTAAACATCTGGTGGCCCTTTGCCTTATTACTCTAGTTATTTGAATGCTTTTTGCAGTACATTGGAAATTTTGGGAAATGATAAATTAATATCAGTGTTGTAAGTATTGCCTACATGGCAAAATGCAAGGATTTATGGCACGTGAATGCCTTGGGCTACATTCACAAACCCACAATTATTGAGACAATGTACCCCAACACTGACCTAGCTTGATACAACCCTTATGCCTCCATTAACATACACCCTTAATCCTAAGGCATAAACCCAAGTAAAAATAATGAAATTTAAATAGATGGAGAGTCTTGAAAAACAAATTGATTAAGGAAAGAGAAATTATTGAAAAACAGAAATGAAAAATGTTTGACAGTGTAGATGAAATGGTGCAATAGCAAGCGTATACATGACCTAAGATCTTGAATTGTTAACAGTAGACACACTACCTGCCTGTTTTGCTATGGGAAATGAAGAGAGATGATAGTCAAGGTTCTACTTTTATACTGGGCAACATGGGAATGCTAGCAGTATCAACTCTTGCTTCTGAGTTGAATATGATGGAACCATGTGTTAAACTTGTTGTCAGGTGATTTTTTTAGAAACTTTCTGAAGTTTGGGAAGTTTGGCCTATGCATTTCCTGATTAAACTAGTTTTCCATTTTTTTACACTTTGTATGTAAGTGATATTTTTTCTTGTATTTAGCTTCCGATTTATTCCAAATCCTGGCGGAAACTTTATAGAGAGGGCATCCTTAGCACAGAACTTGCGGATCATGTCCTTTCTGGGTTTATTAAAGAAAGTTTTATCAAAGAAGACATCTTAAACATGATGGAGCAATTTGGTTTGATTTCAAAGTTCACCCTCAGCTCAACTGATGTGAAATACTTTGTTCCAGCACAACTGAAGTCATCACCTGAAGACCTCCTTAAAATGAAACCATCACCAACAGATCCATGTCCATTGTACATCCTCTTTGTGCATGGCTTTGTCCCTCAAAAAAAATTGGTCTCTTCTTGCAGCTTGTTTCACGAACCATTCGTTGGTGTTGTGAGAAGTGGCCCATGAAGGGTCCAAAGCTGTACCAAAATGGAGCATGGTGCTATATTGGGAAACAAGCACTTGACCTGATTCTCATTTGTGAAATGCGTTTCATCAAGATTACTGTGAGACAGAGAAAGGCCTTAATGGAAAAAGTGCAAGAAGTGGCCAAACATGTGCGTGAGTTTGTGGAACAAACTTTACATGAATTGCCACAAGAACTACTATACCTGAGAGGACTGCAGTACGAGACATGTGTGGCATGGCCCTATTGTCATCCAGAGTCAGATGAGGATAGCCAGGAGTGTGCAATCCATGGAAAAGTCTCCTGCACACACGAGGACTGTTTCCACCTACTTAAAATAGAACAAGACCAAGCGTTGATTTGTTTTAAGAAAGTTTGCTTTGAAGAACGTACTGTCCGTGGAATGGAGAGGTGGTTTTCAGAGGGAGAAAGCCAGGTACAATTAAATTGTCAAAGTTAGTGGTAGTTATCATGGTTTGGTTATAATATTTGTATATTTTAAAAACAATTTTCCAGTAAGTGTAGTTCTTATAATGAAGAAAAATCAAGTTTCCCTTGTAAATTTCTGTCTGGAATTACTAGGTCTAAGAAGGTGGGTAGGAATTCCATCAGACAAAGATGGAATGTTCAGTTACACTTTGACAGGAAACCTGAATCTGGGAATATTGACTTGAGCCTCATTTGACACCAAAGGATATCAATTTAGAAATGACTGGGAAATTGTAACAAGCTGTGATATAAGTTTCCTTCTAAACAAAGTGGATCTTGGAATCAGAATGGTGGGGTTTCCCTTTTTGTTAAATCAGTCTGTGACACAAAAAGATACCTCTCAGGTAAGGAAATCAAAGTCTTGTCTTGCACACAATAAAAGAGACCAATTTCTTCGAAATGGGCCTAAAGTAAGTAATTTATTTTGTTTTGCAATCCTTCCAAAGTGTTTGCTGTATTGATGAGGCACTCACCTCTCTCCACTGACCAGGTTTGACTCCTAATCGTTGTGTCACAGGTAGCTTAAGTTTGTTGTTGGTTTATTTCCTTGCTTGAAGGTATGGGGTTAGTGATGTTTTTCTCAGGTTTCTTCTTATGGTTGTGGCTTTCCTCCTTTCACAAGAACCAACTTTCTAAACAAATTCAACCTGAAATAGGAAGGTGGACAAGCACTCTTTGTTATGGAAACATGCTATCTCATGTTGAAGAAACCTTTAATTGTTGTTGTTGTTTTTTTTTTTGTTACAGGAGTCCAATCCATCTAGTGAAATTTGTACATCACAAAGGTCTATACAAAAAAAATATTATGGTAAAACAAACTGAATTAATTGGTTTGCAATATCTCTGTTTATTCTTATCAAGATTGATACAAATCTGTTGAATGTTTTCCAGATAGAATAGGTACAGTAGTATGAATGCCACTTATATGTTATAATTTGAATATATCAACAAAGTTGAAATGGTACATTGGCCACCGTTACGGTTATAATAGCTGACGTTTCGAGCGTTAGCCCTTCGTCAGAGCGAATAGAGGAATTGTGGGTCGTGTGTGCTTTTAAAGGCAGAAAATGAGGCTACGTGATTGGTGGGAACATGACAACGAGAAAAACACGAAATTATTAAGGGAATGAAAAACGTTCGTTGATACCTGTGGGAAACTGTCAGCTTTAGAAACTATCAGCCTTTATTCATTTGTATTTTGATTGCTGCGACCACTGCCAATTTACCATTTCAACTTTGTTGCTTTAGAAACTAACAGCCTTTATTCACTTATATGTTAACCTGAGATTTTATTCTTCTCGCTGGAAATGAAAAACCTTGCCTCCCCACCTTTTGTTGTGGCTGAATGTTATTCAGAGGTATACTGGAGATACGTAAGGTCATCCGGGGATTCGATCAGTGTGTAACCTTCAATGGATGAAGCACTGAATTACTTCTTTGAAAAATTTATGGATTAATTTCTAGCAGAATTCAAGAAATAGACTCTATAAACCATTCAAGTGTCTAAACAGCACTGTAAATATTTATTGTTTTGAACCTAAGAGACAATGTGCTAAAAAGAAGTTACAAAAGTCACGGAAGAAGTCTTAACGTCTGATATGTGGTTTGCATCACAAAAATGTGTCCCAAGTGTCAAAAACTCAAACAAAAAAACTAATAACATCAATGATATAATAATCAATAATATAATCACTATATGATTGTTGTTTCAAACTTTGCTATTTCGAGTGAAAAAAACGTGCAGTGCGACTCTTGTTACGGGAGCCACTGATACATTGACCTGATCACTTCGTTAGCAGGAAACGATTTATAAAATCCATCTACAAAATAAGTTCTTTGCCATCTTTGCTTACCTCGGCCTTGAACAGTGATTGATATAATTGGACCAAGTTGGAAGGGAAGATTTGGTTGGAATCATTGTTCGTTGCCTACGGTGTGATTGGTTAATTTTGTTTAAGAGATCCCGGTAAAAAGACGGTAGTAGTAGTGGTTCTTTAAAAGTTATTTCTTTTTTCGCAGTAAAACAAGGCACACCAACGAATCTTGAATTGGAAATGTTAGCCGCCCAAATTGGCGAAAAGTGGGGGTCGCTTGGGCGTCGCCTGGAGGTCGAGGATGCAAAACTAGAGGATATAGAACAAAGCCACCGGCGGCTGAACGATAGAGCATATGACATGTTAAAACACTGGAAACAGAAGGAAGGTTGCGAAGCAACATACCAAATTTTGAATGGTGCATTACAGGACGAACTTGTGCAGCGCAAAGACTTGGCAGAAAATATTGTTGCCACCAAGGTAATTATTTCAAGAATGTAATTTGTTTCAAAATTGTTGTTATTAAGTTTTATGATTGACTAATTTTGTAATTATCAAAGTACTAAGTTTGTAATTATCAAAACTGTACAAGGTAGTTGCTTATCAAGTAACTACTGTGAAGCACTATTGTTATCCAAATCGACCATACTTGAACAGCACAACAAAAGAAGCGGTAAAGATCTCTTTGAAGTTAAACGAAAACTACTTATTAAATATTCCCATCTGTTTCTACGTGGAAAATAATTTCAAATTAAAAGGACGGATACAATAAACTCGAGGCCATTAAAAATAGGAAACTTAGGTGAGAATTCACAGCTCTGGTATTGAAATTATACCTATCTTAATTGCAATAGCGCAGCTTAGGAAATAAAAGTGGAAAAGTAATTAAAAGTTTCTGCTTATCATTGCAAGGTTGGTGTGGTAACTATCGTATGAAAGGAAATTAAAATTACGAGTATAAACTCAGCTGCCAACTATCATGAGAACTAATTTTGCCAGAAAGACCATTAACACTTTTATATACCCAAAATTTCTCTAGAATTGAACGAGAAAAGTACTGATAGGCAGCTGCACAATTTAACTTGATTATTCAAATTTACTTTTAGCTTTATATATATATATATATATATTTTTTTTTTTTTTTTTTTTTGGAACACTAAAACGAAAGAACTCGAATGACCTGAGAACGGCTAGAATACCAAAAACAGCGAATAAATATGCTTAAAGAACCACACGGAAAAATCACTACATTTTCCCGTAACAATTAAATGTCTCAATAACACTATTGATTGTCAAACATTGCAATTGATTTTCAAGTGGTGTTAATTATGAACCATTGCGCGAGATTGAAAGTATATTTGTTATATTTGATTGTCCAAAGGTGCAATTGTCTATCCGTTGATGCTATTGAATGTTAATACCCATGCAAATAGCGTTATTGAAAGTTCGTTCGCTTTAATGAAGTTCATGGAAGTGCTAATGAGCGTATGGTTGCCGTATAGTTTCAACTGTTGACGTAAATGAATGTATATTTGGCGTAAATGAACAGCAAAAGGTGTATTTCATGTCTTTCGTTCCTAAACAAAAAATTGGGAATGTATTGGCATCTCAATTTTCCCGTACATACTCTTCTAATCGTGACGTTAAGTAACAGCCCGAACACTGAAAACTCAAAAAAATACTGTGAGTTTGGGCTACCTGTGGCTATCTTAAGCAATGCTAAACCAGTCAGTGGTATCCACATTAAGCGTCCTTTCACCTTTTCCAGAGTTTGAAACAGGGCGGAGATAAATTTTAGAAGAAAGGATATGGATAGATGGTAACAGGCTCAGAAAGCCAGTGGGCGATCTTGAATTCTGATCAAGGAGCTCAGGCTGAGCTTAGGACCATCAAGAACAGTCTAAGCTATCGGCCTGAGCAGAAGTTAAAACCTCGTTTCACTTAATATCCAGCGCCCTTAAAACATTTTCTATGGGTCAATTTTGCGGGTCTGGTATTTTTTGGTACGTAGTTTGTCCCTTTTATTTTCAGAATTGTTAAAGAGATTTTTAGTAACCGGACTGTGATGCAACGTAGGCGGCACAATGTTAAGCCGCTATACTGTAAATATTCAGACACAAGCATCTTGAATAGCGGGCGCTTTTTAAGACTAGACAGTAAAAATGCACCGCGCGTCGGCTTATTTTGACAACCTTGGATTGAACATAGAGACCACATTTTTCCTTCTTAGGAAGCGCGGGCGACCAGAAATCTGCACCAAGCGCGGGAAACTTTGAACCTGCACCAAACGCGGGAAATGCATTTGATATCAAGTACAGGGACATGCGCGTTGGTTTAATGTCTTTCGACACAGCATTGAAGTAATCTTAAATTCATACGAAAGAGGAAATGCGTTGTATCTTTTTGAAGCCCAGAATGTTTTTTTAGGATTCACAGATATGTTAGAGTGTAGACCTTTTTTGTCTCTACTTCTTCTTTCTCGATTATTTTATTCAAAATTCGTCCACAGGTAAATATCGAACCTAAAAAGTAGCCTGACTGCCATTGTGTCACCTCAAGGCTCAGTTGTTGGACAAAACATCGTTTGTTTGGTGGTTGGAGCCCTTCTTTCTCTTTTTCACCCTTCGAGTTTCTCTTACTAGATTGGGAATTGTTGTTTTCGAGCTGACAATTGTTTCGCTTCTTTCAGTCGTTAAGATTAATAAGAACTTTGTCTGTTTTAGGTTCTCCCGCCCAAATCATTCAGGAACTTCAGCAAATGCAACTCGATGCAAGGAAAATCAAGAGCAGAACAGATCCATTATTGGGGCTGAGGGAAATTGCATCAGACAAGGGCTTCAGAATATCTGACAATCAAGGATCAGGAAATTGCATGTTCTATGCCTTGTCAGAACAACTGGAAATTGTTAAAGGAATCAAAATCCCGCCTGGTAGATTAAGACAAACCTTGGTCCAGTACCTGAGAAGTAATCCAAAACTAGTAAGTTGATGTTATTATGTCGAACAGAGTATGATACGTGATGTTCTTTTAAGTATGATAAGGTTAAGTGTGGATACAGGTCAACACCACCAGGGCCTATCCCAGTGTTCACAGCGTGAAGTGACCAGGACTACTACTCCTGCACGGAATGATGGTCTTTCTAGGATCTCTGATAGCAGCCAGCTTGTATCCCCTGATGGAAAGAGGAACTGAAAGATTGAACTTTTTCGTTTAAGAAGCCACACAATGATGTTGGTTACAGTTGAATTCATTTGTTACTTAATCTGGTCTCCGAAGGAGCGGACTTTTACGGTTTTAGTCATTTGAATATTTCGGTTTAAAAAATGCCCCCCTTAAACACGAAGGAAAGAGGTGCCTTAGGTACCTCTGGACCAGTTGTCAATCAACCGTCGTGTGATGTAGAACTCTAAGAGTCAAGTCAGCTTGAGCTATTGCTAATCTAAAGCAGTGAACAGCGGGCGCAAAATTGTTTTATGTTTTCATCACAATACAAGAATTTTTTAGATTTGTATTTCCTTTCTCCAATGGAAACTCTTTATTTGTGGCGGTAAATTTTAAATCGAAGTAGGTGGTTCGTACGTTACATCATTGCCACCATGCTGGTAGAAGTAAACATCTCATTAGCTCCTTTTGTTCGTCTACCAGGCACCTAAAGGACCTCTCCTTTTATAGCGCGCCTTCGTGTTTAAACATCCATCAGGTAACACTAAACGGAAGGCCAGTTATTATCTTAAAGATTGCTCTATCCTGTTGTTTTTCTGCTGTTATTGAAGCCTTGGTGTTCTACAGTAAATTGCTAATTAAAGGTCGTCTCGAACCGCTCTGAATATGGTAT